AATCCAACATTTGGTCACACTTGCTTTATCGTTCTCTGTCTTTAAAAACATTTATATACCATATGGTATATAATATGGTATATACCAGTTATATACGATATTATATACCAGAGAGAGAGAGAGAAAAAGAGAGAGAGAGAGAGAGAGAGAGAGAGAGAGAGAGAGAGAGAGAGAGAGAGATCTGATTTTTTAAAAACTTTTGGTATCATTTGAAAGAAAACTATAGCCATCCTGATATTTCATTCTAAACACTTCTGTATGTATCTCCAAAGATTAAGTAAGTCTGTCTCCTAACAACCTACAGTACCATTATCACACTTAAGAAAATGAGTAATAATTTATAGAAGACATTTCCTTGGTTCTATTTCTAGTTCTCCCAGAAGGGGAGAGGATGGATGGGAGACTATAAGCCAATTGAAGATGACACTAGCGATGTGGGAAAGAAAGAAACCAGTGGAGTCCCATAAACACTTTTCAAATGAAGTTGATGGTCTTTTATGCTATTATAAAAATAATAACTCATAGAAAATACAGAAATGTACAGAGAAGTTACCTACAAAGTTTCCACTCTAAAACAATACTATTAACATTTGGTGCATTTTCTCCAGCTTTTTATGAACAGGTGTGTGTGTGTGTGTGTGTTTTCAGGTGCTTAGAACTATATGCTTTCATAATTTCCTCTCTGTTTCTTTCCCTTTACATTCTTACCTAAGCAGCCCATGTGTACTCAGAAGTATTTGACTTCACTATAGAAGCTTTTATACAAGTTTTTCCTGATTTTTACCCTCTCAGTGTGTTCTGAGGGGTGGACCTGTTTCCAGTTCCTCATACCCAAAGCTTAGCCTGCCCCAGCTTCAGAGTGTACCCCATGGGCCCCTTCGTCTCAGCTCTGCATCAGACTTGAGCCTGGAGCCTAGAAATGCATGCTGGTTGCTTCATCAACTCTTGCAAGGCCACCCTAGGGTAACCTGAGGACAAGTGAACTGAGGACACTGAACTGAATGGTTGAGGAAAAGAACAAAATGTAGCAAAAACTAAATGATGGAGAGCCATTATTAAACGAGTTGAAATGGGAGCATTTAATCAACCAGCCGATTCTTGAAAGATACAGCAGGAGGCCACGTGGTGAAGGGGAACAGGGAGAAGATTGGGGGTTGAGCCTGCATTTGAGTCTCACCTCTGCTGGGGAATGTTGGGGCGGTCACGTCTCTGACCTTTCCTGACCTTGAGAGTGGAGATAAACCTGCCTTTCCTTCCTGTCACACAGGAGTGGAGTGAGGGACCAGGGAGGTAACTGTTTATGAAAGGCCCTGCAAACTCTAAAACTCTAAAGTGCTGGTTGGGAATTTTTTTTCTGAATCCTCACCGGAGGATATGTTTATTGATTTGAGAGAGAGAGAGAGAGAGAGAGAGGAAGGGAGAGAGAGAGAAAAAACACACATCAATATGGGAGAGGAACATTGATCGGTTGCCTCTGGTACACGCCTCAACAGAGATGGTACCCATAACTTAAGAATGTGCTCTGACCAGAAATTGAACCCGCAGCCTTTCTGTGTACAGGACAACGCTCCAACCAACTGAGCCACACTGGCCAGGGCTAATAGCCTCTCGATAAGGCCACATTTCTCCCTATTTCTCTCTTGCCTCCAGAAGTATGCAGGAAGGGAGATAGGCATGGAAGCATGCAAAAGGAGAATGCATAAGATGGCACTTCCTAGCTAGCAGGTGTGCAGATTCCCAGGGTGGCAGGACACTGGGTAAGGCTGATATGGTTGGAGTAGATCGGTCAGGGCCCCTACTTTACAGATGAGGAACCTAAGACAGAATTGCAGTGCCCTTTTTCTCTTTCCCTTGTTGACTTTGCCATCAATGTTAGGTGCTCAGAGGCCTCTTGCTAAGAGATGCCACAGCCTCCACTCTGGATCCCTGGCGAGGCCTGACCCCCATTGAAATATCACATGTTCAAACAGTACTTTTAAAGTTCTATTCACAGCTCCACCACCAGCCCTCTCACTGCAGCTGATTTCAGTGGGAATGAAAGAATCTTGATTCTGGAAGCAGTGAAGGGAGGCAGATAGAGCAGGTACCTTGACACTAAGAAGACCTGGGCTCCACTGTAGCTCCACTACTTATTAGTTGTATGGCCTTGAGTAAGTTATTTAACTTCTCTGTTCCTCAGTTTCTCATCTGGAAAACATAGACTGTAACCTGCTTTACTGAGATTTTGTGCTGTGGTATTCTGGTAACAGCCAGATCTCTGAAAAAACAAATATACGCACACAGACACACTTATATTGTAAAATTTATGATATAAAGATTTATAACACACTTTACAAATAAATAAATTATAAATAAAATTATGTTATTATTACATCACTGCTGTAATAAAATTATATATTATATATAAATTTATAATACTTTTTATTGTAAATTCCAGAGAGAGCCAATTGATTCTCATAGCTTTCCTTGGAATTTGCCAGTCTTGCATCAGTAGCCAACCTGTGGGTGTAGTGGACAAAGGAGTGTAGTTCCAACAAGAACGTTGGTTGATAATTTTATTTCCATTAACAAGTAAGGTAAAAATGAAACAGTGAAGGCTTGTGCTGGAAGTTTACTTGTTTGCCAATGACATGAGTAACTTCTTTGATGAACTGGATAATAGTTTCCCCATATTGAAAAAAAAATACTTCCTCTCTCTAAAAATCAATAAACTATTCTTTGAAAAAACACTTCCTTAATTTGCTATGCTATTCACAAAACAATGGCTATAGACACAGCACTCTTTTAAGTTTAATCTGCATGATTACCTAACTTCTCCAGCACTTAAGTCTAGAATCAAGAAGACAACGAATCAAGTCCTGTTTTGTAGTTCTGCCAATTTCCACAGTATAAATGCACCCACTATGGCCAATTTCAAGATTCCAATGTGATGTCACTGACCAGAGCTGGGAAGAGGGGTGCAGGAGCCCACCATCATGTAGTATTTCCCCAATACAAAGATAAAAGGTAGAACCAACCTCAATACTAAAGTATAATGAAAATTAGGGAGCAATAAATTTTAAATATAATTTATTTAAATATAAATTTATATAATTTAATTTTTAATATTAAAATAATATTACACTAAAGGCCCATTGCACGAAATTTGTGCACGGGGGTGTGTGTTCCTCGGCCCAGCCTGCATCCTTTCCAATCTGGGACCCCTTGAGGGATTTTCGACTGCCCATTTAGACCCAATCCTGATAGGATAATTTTGTTTACATTAACAAGTAAGGGCAGTCGGACATTCCTCTCACAATCCAGGACTGCTGGCTCCCCACTACTCACCTGCCTGCTTTCCTGATTGCCCCTAACCGCTTCTGCCTGCCAGCCTGATCACCCTCTAACCACTCCCCTGCCAGCCTGATTGATGCCTAACTGCCCTCCCCTGCCAGCCTGTTTGCCCCCAACTGCTCTCCCCTGCAGGCCTGGGTCCCCCCAACTAAGACTCAATTCTGGAGTCTCATTCCTAGTGAATTGATTTAGTCAGTTGGTATTTTTAACACAGTCCCCAGGGGATTCTGATGGGCAATTAGCTCAGATGGGGGCCTCAAAGCACAACTTAGGGCTCAGAATGCCTGCATCTAGGCCCAGGTTCCTCACTGGTTAGATGGGGCCATTGGCCATCTATAGCTTGGAGGCTGTGAGGACCTAATATGCTGATGTGCGGGGAATGCCCATGACAGATGCTAGTTGTTGTGTGGCACAGACCACAAAGCCAGCATTGCTGACTAGCCCACGGCTGAAAGCCATTGGCCTGGCATGGCCTTGAAAGTGAGTTTTTATATCCCACCCTGTACTCAACAAGAGCATATAGACACTAGGTAGTGGTTTTCCCTCCTGTCTGGTTTCGGGATGTGTCACCTGAGAACCACCGCTGCCAAGTCATAGCAGCTCAGCAGCTCCTGCATAGAGCATCTGCCCCCTGGTGGTCAGTGCGCATCATAGCTACCGGTCAACGGGTACTTAGCATATTAGTCTTTTATATATATATAGATAGTATTCCACCATATGGATACACCACATTTTGTTTACTCATCGGTTAATGGATACTTGTGTCCACTTTGGGGCTGTTGTAAATATGCTGCTGTGACATTTGTGTACAAGTTTTTGTGTGGATGTATGTTCTCAGGGTGTTCCACTTCCAATAGAGTCTAGGAAAGTCATGGTGGAGAGTGGGGAAAAAGAATGAAGCAGACGAACCTGCTCGCCCCCTGGGTACTCGGAGCAGATGGGTAGGAATGAGAAGGGTAGGCTCAAGAGCCTGTTCTAGCCTCACTGGGAGCCAGAGAGTGTGAGGCCAGAGTAGGGCTATCTCCCAACTATTGCACCCCTACGTTGTTGTGCCAGATCTGACAGCCATTTGCTAGAAATAACTTGAATCATTATATTTTCCCTGGAAATCAGGTCCATTTTTTAATGTGCCCTGCTGGGGCCCAAAATTAGTTAAGCACATAGATACGAGACTAGTGAGCCACACCCACAGTCTGGAGGAGAAGAGTGTTGTCAACAGGAAGCTGACCTGCTAGAGGAAAGAGGTGGTCAGAGAGACAAAGGCCAGTTAACCAAGTGTAAACCAAGAGAGTGGTTTTGTTTATGGGAAATGCTGCTGGTAGCTCCCTGGCCCCACTGGACAGATGAGAAAACAGAGGCACTGCATTGAAGGAATCTGCCATTCAGAAACAGAAAGGATATTAAAACCAGAGTCTTCAGTTGTGCTGAGAGCAGCAGCAGCAGCAGGTTTGGTAAAACCCAGGCCTTGCCCTCAGTGCTGTGCCTATTTTTGAGTTCACAGGAGAAGACTGAGGACACAAAAACAAGAAAAGTTTATGTTGTTTTAGTCTCTGAAAAAAGAACACCAAACTCCACCCCAGCCCCAAAGCAAAAACACAAAACGGCTTTAATTACTGTCTTTTTTTTCTTCCTTTCCTTTTTTTTTTTTTTTTTTTTTTGTTCTCCAGCCAGAAAACATTATGCTGTTAGACAAGAATATTCCCATTCCACACATCAAGCTAATTGACTTCGGCCTTGCTCACGAAATAGAAGATGGAGTTGAATTTAAGAACATTTTTGGCACACCAGAATTTGTTGGTGAGTTTTAGGGCTATTTCTCTCCCAGTTAAGAATCTGATTATCAAAAGGTAAAGAAATCCCAGTAACAATCCGGGTGTCTGGGACTATGGCTTCCAGTCTACGAGATGGTGCTTTCGAGACCCCCTAGAAGCCCAGTAGGTGGGAAAGGAAATGTCTTGCTGGGCCTTTGGGTGAGGGTCCAGGGTTGGCTTGGGAAGGCCAGGTGGGGCTACAGGCCTTTGCAGAGTTAAACCTTCCCAGAGCTGGTCCCATCTCCTGCTCTTAGGTGAGTTTGTTGTGAAGATTTAAAATTACCTCACCCTCTTGCATTCCTGTAAATTCAACTTTCTCTGAAAAGAAAAAGGGAAATCATCTGCTGGATGCCAGATCCTCCCACTCACCTCTCTTGTATGCCTGACCTTTATTTATGCACAGGAGGCCCACCTGCAGCAGGGCCCAGGCGGCTCTCTCTGCCCTCTGTTTCTCCCACTCTTGGCCCAGGCCTCAGAAACCCTTGGACGCTGGTTGGGTTCATAAAGAAACAGCCTTGTAAAGGGGAAAGGAATGAGAGTTGAGAACCACTGTCTCTGCTTTGGGTGTTAGAGTGGTCTTGAAAATGGAGGGAGGGCATGGTCTCCCCAAAACCCATGGGCTGAAATTCCTGACCACAGTCTAAATAAAAAAAGAAGACAGAATATGCCAGATTACTCACTCTGATGGGTTTTTAGGCCACACATACCAGCTGTGCAGCCATGATGGCATGGTGCTGCAGAGGCTCCACAGATCCACCAGCGAGGGGCCCTTGCCATGTGCCACGTACTATGCCTAGTGCTCTACAGACATTATCTCAGTTAATCCTCAAGTCACCTCGTGAAGCAGATTTAATTATTTCCTCTATCAAGAGCTTCGTTCAGGGCAAAGCAACCAGTAGGTGGTGGTGCTGAGATTCAAATACAGATACATTCAACATCAAAGCCTATCCTCTTTCCACTATATTGGATTGCCTCTCTGAGGAGATCCTGCCCCAAGGAGCTTACACTTTGTGGAAACAAGATATCAAGCCACCAAATAAGAGTTCTAGAAGGCTCTTTGCAGATCATCTGGTTTAGTTTTACAAATGTGGAATTGGAGGGCTGGAAGATTTTAGTTAAGGTTAACCAATGGTTATTCTTCATCTTTTGTATGGGAGATATTAGGTGAGGACTAGGGATAGACACAGTGATGGTAAGGAGCCGCATTCAGAATAACATACCCAAGGTCACAGCATGAATTGGTGGCAGAGCAATTAATCACATCTTATCTCATGGCCACTCATTGCCCTGACTTTCTAATTGAATCATTTATTGTTATCAAACACTTGGCATGACTTAACAAAATAAACATTTTCATTTTTACTACATATGTGAATGGTGGGCAGTAATTGCTATCTCAGAAAAAGTTCAATAATAGATGTCTTATGCTCCAAGTTCAAGCTGGCTCTGCCACCAGTTCATGGTATGACCTTGGGTAGGTCATTCTGAATGTAGTTCCTTAAAGACTGTTCAAACAAGATACCTAGCAAAGTCAATGGGATCAGTCAAGGCCTTGAATCAGTGAGGGACAAGGGCTGTTGTGGGTGGAGGGAGTCTCTGAGAAGGATGGGGAAGAAGCCAGAGTAGAGGAGGAGCCCACCCCAGGTTTAGTCATCTATAGCAGGGGGATAGGGCCATAATTAGTGTATTTATCAGGGACAATTCACTGTTCACTCGGATGGAACAGAAAGTTCACACAGACTGGTTATGTACATGGGATAGTCATGAGTAGGGCCAAACTGTAGAGTGTTTTGCCCAATCATATGCTGATAAATGCCTAACAACTGGGTCTCAAAAAAAACCCCCAACTTCCAGTATTTTCCAATTTCAAGCCATGAACATGTCACTGAAATGAGAGTTGTGAAGAGATGCATGCATATAGTTGACTCTTGTGAGACAGTCTGAGCCAGCTCCAGCCCAAAAACTGGATAGAGATATGTAGGGTGGCTTCTCTAAGCCCCTACCCAAACTCTGATGACCAAGACCCCTGAGAAATGGCTTATAACTATTTTCCTTATTCCCATGATTTCTTTGAAATGTCAACCTGAGACCCAGGGTTAAAAATTTACTGTCACTTCCTGGTGTGTGGTGTACCTGGTTATCCAAAAGCTCTCCCACTATGAAACGGGGCTCTTAAAAATATTTTTTTTTAAAAAATTGGAAATGAGTAAGGGTAGTAACTCCTTTAGCATATCTGTCCCACCTCAAAGCCAATTAAATGAATTTAGAACTGGATCAGTGAGCAGCAAGTTCAATAGAAGGACTGCTCCTAAAAGCAAGTACACATATTAGTATTTCCATCAGAGGCTAGCAAGATTTAAATGTTCAAAGACATAAGGTATTAAAATGATCAGATGTTGACTATAAAATAAATGGAATGTATATTGAAATAAAAGGTAGAATCACAAGAATGAGCAAACAACAAAAGAGTGTCAAAAATGACTAGGCAAATTCTAAAAGGAACCAGATATTTAAGAAATACACTCTATCATTGTAGAAATTTAAAACTCAATGAATGGACTAAACAGCAGATTATACACTACAGAGGAAAGACTTGAAGAATTGGAATACTGAGCTGGAAAAATTAGCTAGAGTACCACAAAGTGACAGACATAGAAATATGAGAGGATAAGAGAATGATTAAAAAAATAAAGCCTAACATAGAACTATTTGAAATCTTGGAGGAAAGAACAGAGACAATAAAGAGGCAACATTTGAAAAGAATAGCTGAGAATTTTCAGACCTGATGTAAAAACTGAAACCGAAAGGACTGTGTACATCAAACAGAAAACAAAAGAAAATAAATCCATACCTAGCAACATTATAGTTAAACTCTAAAGTACCAAAGACAAAGAAATCTTAAAAAATAGCCAGAGAGAAAAGATAGATCACCTACAAAACAAGAAACAAATAGTAATTAGACTGACAACATACTTCTCGAAACAACATGGAGTAGGGGAGTTTGGGGGGGGTGGGGTAAGAGATCATCCAAAGAACTTGTATGCATATAAGCATAACCAATGGACACAGACAGTAGGGTTATGAAGGCAGGCTGGGAGAGGTCAATGGGGGAAAAGGGAGACATATGTAATACTTTCAACAATAAAGAATTTAGAACAAAATAAAACAACAATGGAAGTCAGTGTCCAATAGAATATTATCTACAAAGAGCTGAGGGGAAATAAAATAGTTATGTACCCAGGAAAACTGCATTTCAAGAATTAGGTTAGTGCTTGCTTTGGCAGCACATATACTAAAATTGGAACAATACAGAGAAGATTAGCATAGCCCCTGCACAAGGATGAATGAATATTTGTGAAGCATTCTATATTAAAAAAAAAAAATGAGGGTAAAAGATTCAGGTAAAACAAAGCAAAAAACAACAAAAACAAAACAAATAAATACCAGCAAACCTTTTTAAATGGAATTTCTAAAGGATATACTTAAGAATTAAGGAAAATGACCTCTGAAGGGACAGCTCAATGTAAGAAGTAATAGGAATAAATAAATCAGTTAACATTAGGCAACCATGAACATTTTCTATTTAAAATAATGATGAAGTTTTAATTGTGAGAATAAAAAAAAGGACAACTGAAAACTGAAGAAAATAATGCTAGATTTGACAGAATGATTGAAATTAAGGTTCATATTAGTAGAGGAGGTTAAAATGTTGACTTATATTAGAATTTGATAGGTGGACATAAAGTCTAAAGGTAGCCATTATAAAAATAAAAAAAATATAAGTGTGTGTATGAACAATAAGAAAAAAAAAAACAGACAGAAGCATAAAATGGACAAACAAAAGCACATAGAGGATAGAAATGATACATAAGTATGTCAAATAGAGATAAGTGCCAAAAAATGAGTTGTGCTTCTCACACTGAATGTCAAAGTGCTGTATGTGTCTCTAAATGCTTACTCCCAATTTCTGTATCTACCTTGTCTGGACCAGTGACAATTTGCAAACTATTTGTCTGTGGATCCACTTTGAATACCACTGTCCTAGACAGTGTGTCGGGATACATGTATAAAAATCAGTTCATAGAAATGCTGTTCTAATAATAAAAGAAGTGGAAACTGTCCAAATGATCACTGAGAAGAGAATAAGTAAAAAAAAGTTATATATGTATATCCACACAATGGATTATTAATTAGAGAAAATGGAAGATCGTGGATGATCTTTCAATGGATGCTAGAAGCATAATGTTGAGTGAAGGGGAAACATCAAATGACACCACTGACACCACATGCAGTATGCCATCATTTTTATGAAGCTGAAAAAGAAGCAAAGCCAGAAGAATGGCTTCCTGTTTCTGCAAGTCAGGAGAGGTGGGAGGGTGGAATAGTGGGCACACCCTGTAGATGCAAAGGTTTTGATATTGTTCTAGGTCAGTGGTCGGCAAACTCATTAGTCAGCTGAGCCAAATATCAACAGTACCACGATTGAAATTTCTTTTGAGAGCCAAATTTTTTAAACTTAAACTTCTTCTAATGCTACTTCTTCAAAATAGACTCGCCCAGGCCATGGTATTTTGTGGAAGAGCCACACTCAAGGGGCCAAAAAGCTGCATGTGGCTCTTGAGCCGCAGTTTGCCGACCATGGTTCTAGATCAACAATCATAGCCTTTCCCACTTCCTACCTTATTCCATTAGTGGTGAAACAGGCCCAATCCTTCTCTCTTCTCTAGTCTCTGCCCTCTCTTTCTTCTCCATTTCATAGGCAACCTTTTTAAAAGAGTTGTCTACACACTTATCTCCACTCCCCACACTCAGGGCATTCTCTGGGCACTGCAGTGAGTGTGAAATTCAATACTCACTTGCCAGTGCTTGTCTGCTTGACCTCTGGGCTGCATTTAGTCTCCTCTTTTCAGTAGTCTTCTTCCCTAGACTCCGAACCTTCTCCGGGCCACCGCAGCATTTGCACAACTCCTGTTTCCACTTATACGATGACTCCAAATTTAATAGCTCTGGCCTACTCCCCAATGCCCAGCTTCTTCCTCAACACCTTTCCCCAAATGCCCCTCAGGGACCTCAGGTTCATCATCTGAACCCAGGTGGGAGGTACCCTCTTTCAGACCAGACTCAGAGGAATGTGTATTCCCTCTCTGCCATCTTCTCCATAACCTTCCAGTGTTGACCTGACTGGCTTCCACCAGAGAGTTCTCAAGTAGGCCTCATCACTAGACTCATTTCCCCTTCTTGCATCTTCCTCTCCCCTCCCTCTTCTTCCTTTTCCAGACATTCCTTTGTGCTTCCCCCCTCCTCACAATTAAGGCCTTTTTGTAAAAGGTTTCTACCAGGATAACAGGCAACTAACTTCCTCAAAATTCTTAGAGCTGGGTTATCTCCTTTGCTCTGATTTTCCTTAGTGGGGATTCCGGATAGAGACATTTGGCACGAAATTCCCTAAAATTCCCTACAGTCATCTCTTTCATTTTTATACTTCTGCTGACTCTCCATATGGCTTCTTGCAGCTCCAGAGATTGTGAACTATGAGCCCTTGGGCCTGGAGGCTGACATGTGGTAAGTTGTGTAGGCCACCCAGGTGGTCTCAGGATCCTCTCAAAGACAGAAGGCCTCAAACCCTGACTCTGGCTGATATCCCTCTTGACCATAAAAACCCCTTTCTCCACGTTCTCCTTACAGAGCCTCTGGCTGCTCCAGGTGTGCTGGGTCTGAAGCCTGGGCAGCTGGAGACAGCGAGGCCTGGAGCTGAGGCCAGTTAGAACGTGGCAGAGGCAGAGAACAAGGGGAGAGCTGAGTCTGAGGTCCAGGATCCCCCCCTGAAGCCTGCCACGGCCATGATTGAGATAATATGTAGTGACAGCTCTTTCAGCCAGTCAACCAAGTGACACTGAGTGCCTTGTGTTGTAGCTCTGTGATGGGCCTGGGGATACCGCAGTGATTGATTCTCTGCACAGATAGGTCTTATTTCATTTGAACAGTGCTTTTCGCTGGCTGAGTCCCTTGATTAGTTGGTTTTCTAAAATACTTGCAGCAGTCCTGTGAGGTAGTTATCATTGTCCTCACTGTATGAGGAAGACTCAGAAGTGATAAGGAACTTGCCCCAATTACAGCCTGCAAGTGCAGGAGTCTGATCCTGAACTTGGGTCCTCGGACTCAATGTCTAGAGAGTGATGACTCCATCTGTTCCCTGGTGCTGCTGAAGAGTGGGATGGAGAGGACTGTGGGGCTCAGGATGGCATTCAGAGGCTGCCATGGAGTGGCAAGAGGCCACTTCCCCTGAGAACCATGCGGGGAGTCCCTTGCTGGTCTGGGATTAGAGCCAGAAGGGCCTTACTTGACTGTTCTTTGTTTTGCAGGAGCATCGGCGTCATCACCTACATCCTGTGAGTATCCCTGATTCCCAGAGTCCCAGCTTAGACCTGGGGGAAGCAGGAGGGATGAGAGAGGGGCAAACAGACAGACAGATGGATACTGAGCACCCACCATGAATCAATGTGTTCGAGCCACACAGCAAACCTGAGGCTAAGCCCTCTGAGCTCCATTCCACACATTTGACCCTGGGATTGGGGTTGGGCAGGAGAGCAGCCTGTGGCCCAACACACCGTGCAGCCTGTGTCTGCGTCCCCACCGTGGCCGGGCCCACCTCTCTGATTCACCCAGACCATTTTGCTGTGAGAATGTCAGTTTTCACTCAGAAGCCTTGTGACAGCTCTCACGTTATTATGCCCTCCCTGATCCTGCCTCCTTCTCTCCCTTCCTCCCTTCTTTCCCCAGCTCTCACATTCTCCCTCCTCCTTTCTTCCTGGAGTCTCTCTTTTCTGCTCCTGAAGTTTTAAGTCGCTCAAGCAGATTTCCTACACTGCTCCGTGTGTAATGGATTTGACACTTTCCATCTCTGTGGCCTTGGCAGATTCTTAACTCTCTCTGGGCCTGTTTTTCTCATCAGAAAAGTAGGAATCACAAACTTCCCATCAGGGGTGTGCTGTGGGGGTTAAATAAGCTGACACGTGCAAATTTCCTGGCACCTAGTACACGGCTGATTAGTGGTTGTTTATCCCATCAGTGCTTCCCTACCAGTTTCCCCTCACAGCACACCTGCAAACGGCTATTTCTGCGGCACACTGGGTGAGAGTCAGCCCACAGCCAGACTCAACAGCTGAGGGGTCATTCTCCCAACACCCCATAAACTAGTTTTCTGACCAGCAGTGCTTGGATTGGGAGCTCTGTACAATGTGGGAGACCCCCTGGAGCTGCAGAGAGGGACTGAATCCTGACTGCACATAAGACCTTTTGATTCCAACCATGGTCGAGGCCCTAGCCCAGATCTATTAAATTAGAATCACTAGGGGTGGGATCTGGGCACTAATTATTTTAAAAGCCCCAGAGGAATTTGATGCAAAGAGAGAGAATTTGATGCATTGCTCTATAGTCCCAAATCAAAGCCAGAATAGTCAGACGTTGGCTCTTGAAACATTGATTTCTTCAGAACTCTGGTGCCACATTGAAAGGTTAAAGAATTCCAGTGTGTACAGGGCACATTGACTTCTTGTAGCTCATTTGAGTTCCATACAATTTTTTGAGTGCCTGCTTTATAGTGGGCATGGTGCCAGGCCCTTGGGATAGTGACATGACGGAGAGTCTGCTCTATTAGTCTGGAGCTCCCTGTGTTGGGGTGAGGTGGGGAATGACTCCAGATAGCTAACTCTCACTCAGTGGGACCAAGGTTATGGTGGAGGTATGAACACGCCTCTGTGAGACACAGATGGGAGAGGCAATGGTCTGCTGGGGCTTCAGAAGGTTTAATGGGTTTGGGGGAGGAAAAGGAGCTTGATTGATTGACTTGACTTGAGCTGGACTATACAGAGTGAGGTTAATTCTGCAGGTATAAAGGAATGGAAGGAATGTTCTGCTAAGGAAGGAAACAGCATGTTAAATGTGGTGAAATGTACAAAGAATGTGTTAGGAAATAACTCGTGATGCCTTGCTCAGGAGTTTAGATGTGAGAGCAGCAATTTCCAACTGGTGTGCCACAAGCATTTTCAAAACATGCAATACCCGACTAGTTAGTCAGGGGCACTGACCTCCTCTCCCTTAGGTTGTCAGATTAAAAAATGACAACAGCCAACACAATAATAGCTGTCTGGTGTGACTGAACCAATCACATTTATAATTTTTAACAGGTCAGTACCTGAATTATACCTACTTTTTGTCAGATCAACAAAAAAATGTATTTTTTAGTATGCTGCAGAATTTTAGTAATTAGTTTGTGTGCCATAAGGTGAGAAAGATTGAAAATCACTCCTATAGAAAATGGGTAGCCATACAAGGTTCTTTGTGTTCTAACAACAAAGATAATAATGGCCACCAATTTCAGATGTTTAATAAGGACCATGATTGTACGGATCATTTTATATACATATTTACTCTTCACAACAATCATGAGAGGTGGGGACTTAATTTTCTCCATTTTATAGACAAGAAAACTGTAGATCAGAGAAGTTGATAACTTACCTAGGCTGAACCTAAGATTGAAACATCAAGTATTTTCCAGTGCACTATGCTAAGAAAATGGCAGTGTGGATGGAGATGACTTTCAAGAGATATTTGACCAACAAAACTTTCAGACCGGTTAGTTAAGGTGAGGAAATGGAAGGAGGAATCAGAGGTGACCCCTGTGTTTCCAGCTTGGATACATTTGTGAAGTAGCATCATTAATCCAGGCAGGGAGTTCAAGGATTGAGGTTCAGGCACAGTGACTTCTGGGAAAATGGCATCTCTAGATAGAGGTTTCCCATAAGCAACTGGCATATGTGTTAGGGGACAATAGATTCAGGAGTCGCTACTTAAATGACACCTCCTTCTCAAATCTTTCAGGGGAACCTCACACCCCCTTCTAGTCCCGAATGGCCCGTCTGCTTCCACACCTGTCAGGCTTTGCTCAAATTGCCCCTTTAGCCTAGAAGAGTTTCCATCGCCTTCTCTGATTGCTGACAACCTCTTCATTCTTCAAAACGCAACTGACACAAGTGTCAACTCTCCCATGAAGTCTGCACTAGGCCTCACCTTCCTCCTGTGCTCCCACAGTCCTTTGTCTTCCTTCTATTATATTCTACTTTTTCCTGCTGTGCTTCTCTTCCTTCCTCTTTCCAGTCTCCTGAAGATGCAGTTTCTGTCAAGTGCTTAGTCAGAGCTCCATAAAGTGCATTGAGTTGGACTCAGTTGAAAAGGCTCCTGACTGGCTGCCCAGAGGGGTCAGGCAGCGTTGCTGGGAGCCTCCGAACCCCATGCAATAGTATGAGTCAGGGTTCCCTGAATCCATCACCCCCAATTCATCTACTTTCCTGTAGTCACGTGTTCTCTCTGTGTATTCAGCCTAAGTGGAGCATCCCCTTTCCTGGGAGACACGAAGCAGGAGACACTGGCAAACATCACAGCGGTGAGTTACGACTTCGATGAAGAATTCTTCAGTCAGACCAGCGAGCTGGCCAAGGACTTCATTCGGAAGCTTCTGGTTAAAGAGACACGGTAAGAGGACAGAGAGAGGCACGGGCTTCTCGGATACTGACCTATAGCCCTTCCACAAGACATGTCAGTCTGTCCCCACTTTGTCACGGGCTGTCACCGGTGCCATTGTGGTCTAACCTGGGCAGGTGCTGAGAAGTGTGGCCTGGCATTCATCTTGTTTGCTCAAGCCTTTCTGCTTCTTTTCCTGCTGAAATGCAAGTAACTGTATGTGGTGTGTGCACAATGTGTAGCTGTGTGTATGCAGTGTATGTGTGTGTCTGTGTGTGTATTTGGAAATCAGCCTAGGTTTCCCTATGTGCAATTGGTCCCAAAAGCACCTAGAACTCGAATTTGAAAAGGAAAGTAGCAGGTTTCAAACCAATTCAGGTGGGAGTTGGGGGAGGTGAGCTCAGAGAGGCCAAAAAGTGAGAGAATAGGAGACACAGTAATCCTATCCCTTCTTCAGGACCCAGGCTGAGCTCTGTGGCTGTGGGGTCACAGCAGGAGATGGGCAGGGAATTGTAGGGAGTTAGGTGCTCGGAGCATTGCCTACCCGGGGCAGGAGTAAGGTCTGCAGATTCTATAAGGTTATGGCTTCTTGGTCCTACAGACTTTGGAGAGAACCAGAGTGGGCCCTCTACAGTACGGGAGCCTGATTTCTCAGCTAAGGCAGTGCTAGGCAGCAGCACCTGGGTACTGTGAATGGCTGAGCTGAGAAGACTCTGGGAGGCAAACAGGAAAACAGAGACCAAAGGTTCAACAATGGAAAGTGGGAAGCTCAAAAGAGCACCTAGCACTCTCCTATAGTGTGGCGTTGGGCCCTTCAACGTTGGGACCAAAGAAGAGGGTTATGTATTATCACTCTACAGAGGGGTCTGTCTGGACCATTTTCTCTGGAGGGTAGAAAATTCAGCCAGTTCCCCATCCATGTCTGTGTCCCCCATTATTCTGGTTTGATGGCAGTGATAAAGAACGCCAAAATGCTAGTCTAAGAAGAGTAAGAATGAAGACCGTTGCTCTCAGCTTCTGTCCTCACGGATCATCTCTGTTTCTGGTCCTCATTTCAGGAAACGGCTCACAATCCAAGAGGCTCTCCGACACCCGTGGATCACGGTAAGGACATGGCGATGCGCTCCAGCGAGCAGAAAGGTCTCCGCTCTGTGGCCAGGGCTGGCTGGGGTGGCTTGAAGTACTGACTCATGGACACAGACGAAAGCCCCAAGGTTCTGGTCCTTTTTCAATAGGTTTACGTTTTTATTTCATGGGTTCAGGTGACTCATAAAATGCAACCCTTAGTTGAAACCCGTTTTCTCTAGGGCCATCTTTGTCAGATGATATGTCACTCTTGTTCCCAGTTATAGAGAGAGATTGGTAACAATGAAAAACCTCAGCTTTATGACCAGGGCTCCTTCTGACTTTTGGGGCTCTGAGAAAAGGAAGACACTGGGCTTCCTCTGGTCACCTTCCCCAGGCACCGTGAGACCTCAGAGAATGGGGCTCTGAGATGGAGGCCTGGTGGGATTAAGCAGCCGCTCTCTTTGGGCAATTCCATTCCCTTTGGGGAGAACAGGGGCACAAAAGCGACTCACTGCCTAACCTGCTTTGTAATTACGCTTCCAGCTGCTGGTTTTCCAGGGGTTTTGTGGTCTAATCACAGTAAAGTGCTATGAAAAGCCCTTGGGAGGATGGGAATCAGGAGACTGGGACTCTGGCCCTACTAATTCTATTAACTGAGCAGATGTGTACTCAGGGATATAATAGGACTTCTAATTCCCTCGAACTGTTTGTTAAATGAGAGAGCTGGCAAGGATGATCTGAGGGTATAGCGGAGGGATAGAGGGGCAGGGCTGGAGTGCTCCAGAAAGGTCAGATTCCTGTGCTCACTGAAGGATGAGGAAGGCCAAGGGCCCTTCAGGTTTGGGGTGAGCTCAAGGCACAGAGCTAGGGAGTCTCTTGGGCTGCCTCCTTGCTCAGCTGCTGAGTGTTGCAAGGTCCAGGAGGCCAACTGGCCCTGAAGGCAAGAGGCCACTCAGCCTCCCACTGTGACACCTGGCCTTGCGTGCTCCTGGTCTTGAGTAGATGCCTGCAAAGTGCTGCAGCCTGCCTGCCTGTGTGAGCGCCTCTAAATGCTATGCGTATGAAGACTCTAATTTGGAGGGCCACTCTGCCCTGAAGTGAGCATGCAGGCAGCACCCCTGTTCCTCGCCTTGTGATGATCTGTAGGGGTGCTCATCCCACCGTGGTCCTCCACATGGCCTGACGCATGCAGTGAATGCCAGAGGCTGCTTGTGTGTCTTCTGCCTCCAGCTTGGACTGCCCTTTGGAGCAGCGGTCAAATTAACTCTGGCCCTTTTATCTAAACATCACCAGTCCAAAGGAGAAGTCAGAGCCCCAGAACAGCGGAAGACCGAGCCCACCCAGCTGAAGACCAAGCGCCTGAGAGAGTACACCCTCAAATGCCACTCAAGCATGCCTCCCAACAACACCTACATCAACTTTGAGCGCTTTGCTCACGTGATGGAGGATGTGGCTTGTGTAGACCAGGGATGCCACGCCCTGGCAGGGGCCCATGGCACCATCCAGGACGATGTGGAAGCTTTGGTTTCTATCTTCAATGAGAAGGAAGCTTGGTACCGAGAGGAGAGTGAGAGTGCCCGGCACGACCTATCCCAGCTCAGGTACGAGTTCCGCAAAGTGGGGTCCCTGAAGAGGCTCCTGCGGAAGGACATCCAGACCACAGGGTCCAGCCTCAGAAGAGTGGCCAGGAGAATGGACCATCTGCAGGTGCAGTTTGAAGCTCTGAGGCAGGAGCTCTCAGCAGACCTACAATGGATCCAGGAGCTGGTGGGCAGCTGCCAGCTGGAGAGTGGGAGCACAGATGGCCTGGGCTCTGTGTTCTGCCGGAACACCAGTGAGTCCTCAGCGGAGCTGCGCAGCAGATCAGGCAGCGAAGAAGTCTTGGCCGGCTTGGAGCTCTGAGCACCGGAATCCAGTCAGTGATGCCTCCTGGATGGCTTCCAGAAGCATGTTCCAACGGCCCTGCTGGGCATCAGCTAGAGTTACCCTGCAGGGATGTATGTCGGTAGCATAGACTTCCACCCCCTTCCCAGAATCCAGAATCACAGAGGTACTAGCGAGTTGTTCATTCTGCACCTCCTCTCACCAACCTGGTTTTCTGGGATGGGGGGATTGGCAGGGCGGCCAAGCTGTTAAAACAAATGAGAATAAATACCCTTCAATGTGTCTTTCTCTAGAGGGAGGACAGCTGGCTCTGGGGAAGTGCTTGGTAACTGATGTGTGATCATGGATTTGTGCACATTTCACCTCCCACCTATATGCCTTGGGGGTTGCAGATCTTGGGTAATACTGAGCTAACCAAGGGTAATAGTAAGTCAGCTTGGTGCTTTCCTGCTTCAGAAGGAGGAATTTTAAGTGCACAGAGAAAATATTACTTCTCATTTGCATTGACATCTCTTACCAAGCACTTACCTCTTTGATCCTTTTATCTTTGATCCCTAAAAGAACTTTGCAAGACAGGAAAGTCGGTGGCATTATTATTGCTGTTACTATTATTTTCATTTATCTGATAAGGAAACTGACTCCAAGAGGGAAAATGATTTGCTCAGGGTCATTCATAGCTGGTTGATACAGATGAAACCGAAACTCGGGATGCCTGACTCTAGGATGAGGTGTATGGGAAGAAATTTCGAGGCTTTGATGTAAATATCCATCTTAATATTAAAGTTCAGACCCCAGTGGTAAAATAAGCAACCTCACATATTCTGCCAGGTATAGATGGAATGCCCTGTACCTTCAGGTGATGGAGAAGTTTGTCCTAGAGGGTGCGGTCATGGCTCCTGTCCAGCCTGAGCCTGGCTGAAGCTCTGCTCACAGAGCAGGAGGAGAGCAGCATCTCACCCTTCTCCAGCTGTCTCCCTCTGGCCAAGGGCCTCAACCTTGTGTTGGGAATGAATACCAAACGGAACTTAGCAAGAAGGTTCCTTTTCTTATGTACTTAGGGCATCGGGTGCTGAAAGGTCAGAGAAACTCCATGAGGGTTTTTGAAGAGGGTGGACATTAGGCCTAGGAAACACAAGGTTCAGTGGTCCCCTCTTGACCCCAAGCTTTGAGCATACCCCTGAGGACTGTGTGGTCTTATCACCCTTTTCCCAGAGGATCCCCGTCATCTGGCTCATAGAGACAGAGCTTGAGTATGGGCCCAGAACTGTGCTAGAAGCTTGGGGGTTGAGGAAAAGATGTATCATTTCCAAGTGTCTTAATACACTCACAACATACCCTTGTCAGAGAAGCAGGATAAATGCTATTCCCAGTTTGGACATGGGGAAACAGAGAGGAGGTGATTTGCCCAAGGGCATAATTGTGGCAAATTCCCGAGAAATCTGTTGCCTTTCTGCTTTCCCTAACTGCCCCAGGCTTCAGGAGTTTTTGTCCCTGCTTCTGAAGGAGGTGATATGCAGATTCAACTATCCACCCATTCTCAAAGCACCTACCAACTGCCATATATTTACTTGGTCTGGCACTGGAGATCCAAAGAAAACAGGCATGTTTCTTGCCTTAGCAAAGTTTGCAGTCCAGTGAAAGATTCCAACATTAATCAAGAACATTCTAGAAATGTAGAACTAAAGCTGGACATATGCTGGGAAGAAGTATGAATTACTGTAAGAGCCTGCAATGGGGGTTTGATGTAGTCCAGGAAGGCATCCATGAGGTGGTGATGCTGAGCTGAGATCAGCGAAGCACACCAGGGAGAAAGAATTGTTCCCTCATGCCATGGCTCTGTGGTAGGAGGGGGCATGGAAGGCTCAAATTACATAGATAGAAGGAAAGCTGGAGGGGAGAGACTAAGAGGATTGTGTAGATGTGACTGGAGAGGATGCAGAACCAGCCAGGCTTTGCCATATCAAAGAGCTCTGCCTTTATCCCAAGAGTCATGGGGAGCCATGATGGAGGCCAGGCTGGTCAATGGCCCAATGTGCTGGGGGGAAATGCCTAGTGAGCAGCACAGATGGGATGTAGTTTAGGATGAGACATAAGACTTTGATCTCATGAAACCATTTCTTCAAAAGTCTACCTCCTTTTCTATTAGCATGCTGGATCATTTCAAATACATATAATGTTGTAACAAACTTTTTTCATCAAATAGAAGAAACCATGTTTCTATCAAATATAAGACACATCATTATTTTATGTACCAAAAATAAGAAAGATCCCCCCCCCCCCCCCACTCACGCACACACAAAGAGAAGCACCTATGCTAAGGGTAAGGGATAAGAAAGGAACAGCAAGAGAACATGAGTTTCAATCTTGACACTTGAGGCAAATGACAAACCCTCCTCTAAGAATAGAGCACCGGTGGTCCTTAAGCTTTGTGAATTTGCGCCATCAGTGTGATCCAAAAGAACCTCAAGCAGAGACTCTAGGTCAGACAGCCTGAGGCCGGTGGCCCTGATGGCTGGCGGCCCCGAGGGCTGGCGGACCCGACTGCTGGCGGACCTGACGCTGGCAGAAGCAGCGTGAGCACCTGCCTTCACTTCAGACCGACAGTTATGTTATGATGCCATTGATTGGGAGACAAGTCCTGACTTCAGAGATCCAAAAATATGCAGAAGATGGCAAAGCTGTTCCTATGCCCTGCCTGGGAGAATTGGGACAAATGACCCATCTATCATCTCTCCAAGGATGCCTTGTCCCAGGATGTGATGTACTCATTTGGCATAAGACACTGCTCCAATGAAAGGGTCCTTTGGCCATGTCAACAGACCTTACCTCACACCGCCAGTTTCCTAAGGAAAGGAAGCTCCGATGGAGCAACTCAGGGAAAACTTTCTTGTGGACATCGAAATAAAATGCAATAAAGGAGTAAGACGTTGATGATGATTTGAATTAGGGAGACTGGGAAGAGGGAGGGATAAGGGGTTATTTTAGAATTCTGGCAGCAGCCACCATGCAGGTCCTCAGAGGCGAACCACCAGACACCCTTACAGCATGTTTCAGGGCAGGACTTGTCTGAAGGTAACCCAGCTAGTCGGAACCATAGGAGGTTTTCCTCACAGGAGTGGAGTTGTCCTCTTTATGTTCAAGTCCGGTCTTTG